ATTTCTAAATCAGGATATGTGGTGATTCCTTCATGGAAATGAGGAATCACGATTCTAGTTTGAAATTTCTACCTAGGGTGGACGATTCTGGGTACTATGGATCAAACCATCCAACTAAAGCATAAATAATAAAAAGATGTGTCCCCAATTCATCCATTTGTGAGCCTCCTTGTCACATACAAGATAGATGCTAATGTGTAAATGAAATGAAGGCAAGAAACATTATTTTTATTTGAGATGAGTGCTAGTGGCTTTTGGATTGGTGTGTCTATCCACAAGTTCTGCCAAAATAGTCTTAATATGTTTGTCGCATGTCTCCTCAACCTTAAGCATGCAGCTGGAAGGACTTTTTTTAGTATATCAGATGTGCCTGCGAGTATTTTCTAATCACAAAATATATGTTCCTAGCTAGTCAAGTCCAAAGATTCTCTAAATCTTTTCTGAAGATTTCCCCTAGTACAATCTTTAACTAATTTAGAAATAAATGGGCGTCCCACCTTTGTGGGGCGTAGGGCCCATGTGGTCTCCTCACGTGTGGGGCGGGGCCTTGGCCCTGCATGTGGGTCCCCCAATGCCCTTACAAATTTCTAAAATATGAGGACTACCTTTTCTAGGGATTTTATGCATGAAATAATTTTTAAAATTTCTGAAAAATAGTTAAAAATCACAAGAGCATAAATAAAGTTGAAAACACTGTTTCTGACGTTCTTAAAAATCGAAAATACTCATAAATAACTATAGAATTGGATTGGTAGTGCTCATTATTAAAAAAAACGGACCTCTCGGCGCCTAGGCGGTCCAGAGATGCACCCATGCCTAAGCAACCAAACTGGCCGGTGGTCCCTGGGCAGCCACCTAGGCGGTACGAAACCTGCTTAGGCAACACGGAACCTGCCTAGGCGGCCGCCCAGCGCCCAGCCCTGGACGGCTGCCCAAGGCCTGCGCCCGCCCAGAGGCGGAAAAGTATTTTTTTTTGTTCTTTTTTCTCAAGATATAAAAGTTTAGAACGATGAGTTTTAGGTTCATTTGAAACCTGAACCCACAAGAAACCATTTCAGAGAGAAAGAAACCTCCAAAAAAGTACATTTCATTGGATCGAATCGTCGAAGTGTTTCTCAAAGTTTGGTGTTCGAGCAACCAAAGTAAGTGCATTTTTTAGGTTGCTTGTTTTTTTTTGAGATGTCTTCTTCAGGAGTTAGTCGGAATGGAGATCCGGGTTGGAAATATGGATACAACTTGAATCCAAATGACAAAATTTGCGTCAGATGAAATTTTTGTGAAAAAGATACAAAAGGAGGTATAAACCGGTTTAAGAAACATCTTGCCGGTATTAAGGGGGATGTTGCCCCTTGTAAAAATGTTCCTGAAGCTATCAGAGAGGAGATTAAGCAATTTACAAGTTATGTAAAACAAAAACAAGAACAAAATCCTTATCATAGATCTATTTCTGCTACTCCTAGAAAAAGTGATCCGGGTCGGAAGTATGGGTACAACCCAAAACCAAATGATAAAAATTATATAAGGTGTAATTTTTGTGAAAAAGATACCAATGTAGGTATTAGCCGATTCAAAAAACACCTTGCTAGTGTTAGAGGTAATGTTGCTTCTTGTACAAAGGTTCCTGAAGCAGTTCGGGATAAGCTTAGACATCTTTTGAATTTTGAAGAACCAGGAAAGGATGAAAATAAACCTTGTTCTATGGAAGTATCTTCTCCAGGTTCTAGACTGAGTGGTGATCTGGGTTAGAAGTATGGTTATGACTCGAATCCAAGTGATAAAAATCGTATTAAATATAATTATTATGGAAATGATACTAATGGGGGCATTTACCAGTTTAAAAAACACCTTGTCGGTATTAAGGGGGATGTTGCCCCTTGTAAAAATATTCATGAGGTTACAAAGGAGGAAATTATACAACATTTGAGTTCAGAGAAGCACAAAGAAAATGGTAGAGCAGCCAACACTCCTAGGGCCTCATCTCCACAGGCTAGTAAGAGGAAGGTAGAAGAAGAGGAGGAGGAAGGGGCAGATTCAGAAGAAACAGAGGAGAACGAGCGTTATATTGAAGAGGGAGATGACTTTGATGATGATGCCCTCGACTCTGATGCATAGGATGAGGCTTGCCCTATTGATATTCCTTCTGATGATGTTGATGATGACGACGACGACTGAAGACTCTTGCATCTTGGTGCTGAGTGTTGAGTGTTGAGTCTGTTGACTGTTGTGTTGAGTCATAAGTGTTGACTTTTGTTATCCTGCATATTTTCTAAATTTCGGTTGTGTTGAGTGTTGACTTTTATATCCTAGCTACACTTGTATGGTTTTACAGTTTACTGTTTTAACGATATGGATTATCAAAATTCTTTTCTTAATGTCTATCTTTTTTTTTTTTCAACTTGGAATATGGTATTATATTGGTAATTTGGTATGGTGTTTACTTTTTTTCAAATTTCAACTGGCATCTGGTCAGATTCTGGGCCCCCGCCTAGGCCGCTTAGGCGCTGGGTGGCCTGGACTCCCTAGGCCGCCTAGGACTCGCCTAGCGCTTTTTGATACACTGGTAGTGTTGGGTCAAGAAAAGTGATTCTCATGGCACTCCAATCGTGCTAGAATTTATGATCCACAACTATATTCTCAAACCAACTCAACGGGACCCATGGCCCACTGTCATGTGGGTGGCTCATGATAGGCCTGTGAAAGCTAACTAATAAATAGTGGAACTACTGTCCTAGTATGTGGATTACAAATTACACCTTAAGAGAAAATCCGATGCACATATCACTATAGTACAAGGGGGACTCTCTCTATGCACATGCACACGTTTCCCTCTACAAGATTGCTTCCTATAGTGTGTCTATCGTATATATATGCCGTGTAGGGGTTTGCTGAGGATTTGATACTTGCTCTGACAAGCCCACAACCACATACCGGAATCTGAGTGGTTTCTTGGCCTACAAACATCATCCATGGGTATCTCCGACCTCAACAAGGGATGACCTTTTAGAAAACCCTCAACATTAGTGCTTATGCCTGGGGGAAAGGGTTTTGGACATGACCTAAGCCATAGACCACCCAAGCCTAGGTCAGTCAATCAACATACAGTCCCATTAAAGTGTATAATTCACTGTATTTATTATTTTTTGCATGTTCTCATGGGCTTTAAAGGCCACAAACCCTAACAGTTGGATCTCATGAACTGTTACCATTTTGCTATGAAGAGTAGTGGTATAGCCCAATAAAAGTACATTTAGCTTATAAGTTGTGACTATTTATGGAACACTTCATCTACTGTTTGTTCTCATTGATAAGCTATGGAGATGAATTCTTCCTTCATTTGACCAAGTAATGGTGGGGATACAGTTTATCTTCTTGTCTTTTATTGATAGTAGACATTGGGAGATTGCACGTAGTGGACAAGTAGTATAATGCATGTAGTATGATGGTATATATTTCACCAAAAGTGCAGCCTTTATTGTTTTTAAAAACCAAAATATTGGAAAATCTAGGTAAGGATTATGCCATGAGTTCCAATTAATGGAGAGTATGCATTTGACTTGTTGTATCCAACACCACTGACCTGAAACTTCTTTATGAATGTCCACCATATCAACTATAGCATTTAATTGCCTATGAGTCTTTTCTCTTGTCAAGAAGCGTTACTTAGCACTACATTTTGTATTTAATCTATCCTTTTGTGGGCAGCACTCTTGGATGATCTCCATTCAACCAACTTGGTCTTTGGTAATTGATTGATCTCATTACACCCATGGTCATCTTGTCCTCCATTGGGCTGAAGTCTACAATTCTGGATCTTCTTCTTAGACCTTCAGCCTTCTAGGCCTCTGCTTTTCCCTTATTTTGTTGTTGTCCTTGGTAGAAATTAGATTAAGGACACCCTCCTGATACAGTTCTGGCCATGCTAAACAGTTGGTTTCTTCCTTGGCTATTGTAGTTCCTATCCAATAAATAATCTTTGGATTTGACCTTGCTAGGGCATCGCACATGGGGCCTGTGCAGTGTCTTCTGAATATCTTTCCTTCTGTATGACCACCAGAAATCGTACCAGCCCTTTAACATCCTAATCTTACCTTCACTGTGCCTCTACAGATGCACTAAATTGCTGCCACCCATATGCTCTGGCCCTGCCAATGATTGCATATACGCTCCTTCCACTTCAGCCCAAATGTCTTCAATGGATTCAAAGGTGGAACCATCTAGCATGATAGGGTATCTCATAAACATTAATCCAATTTGATGATTTTTGGGCTGAATTGTTAGTGGGGAGCTTCAACTTTTTCAACACTAATGAAGCTTGAACCATGTTTCTCAAACACACTCTTCATAACCCTTTGGATCCTAGATGGGATGGTATTGAAGCAACATGTGCCAGTGTTATGGGTACAGACAACCATTGTAATGGTAGTGTTCCACACTTGGGATGCATAGACACTACTAATAAGGGGGTTATCGCTCAGGTAAGATGGCAGTGAACATCCAAACAGAGCTTGACTCTCCATTGCTCATCTGTGATACTTCTTCACAAATCCGAACGAACTGACTTCCTTGTTATGTCTGGGTGGGCCACCTCCTTCCTAATTGCCTCTTGGGTCCCAGCCATCGTACTTCAATGGATGTAGCTATCATCATTCTTTGTTTTTTATTTTTCTTGTTTTTCCCCTTTTGTGATTGGATGGGGTTATTTTGGATGTTAGTTTGTGGAAGAGATTTTGTGGAATAATGTCTTAGTTTTCTTTGTTCAATATCTTGAGCTTTCTGTCCACAAGAGTTATGCAAACATGGCATGTTTAATTTGACTTATGATCTTGGGGTACAATTGGACATGATTTATGACAACATCATTTCTTTGGGCTTAAATAAAACACTTGTATGAGCATAACTTTTTAAAAGCATGGAAAACACTGATATTTTTTTCTATTGTTTGAGACTCATTTTTTTGAATGCCATATAACGTATTTGTTCTGATACATTTGGTCTTGCAGTGATTTGCAGTTTCCTCATCATGATAATGAATTGGCACAAGCTGAGGCATACTATGGCTGCTTCCAGGTATGCATATAGATTTTTCATGGAATTTCATGATGTATTCTTTTTGGATTAAGTTTCGTGGAATACCTGATGTTTTTCTATCCTAGATCCATTTTGGTTTCTGGTATTTCCTGGTCAACCTTATTTTGTTTTTCTTAATATTCATCCTCATGTGGTGCTTGACAGGTTGGTGCTTTAATATTTCAATTTGTTGCACCATATCTAACTCAATATGTAGTGCTGTACAGTAAATTTTGTAGCAGGGTAAAATTTTTTTTTATTAGCTGGAAGTGTTGTGGCTATTTAACTTAAACGAAACTTGGAACTTTATTTGGATAGCAGAATGTGAAGTTTGACAGTTGGCCTTTAGTTCCTTAGACTTGATTTGACTGCAGAGAATAGACATCAAGCAAATATTTTGCAATACGAATTCACTTAATTGAATGAAGAGATTTGAAGACTCTCATATGGATAGTTGTTGTGTGGTGTTAACTTCAGTAATACTGACCTAGTCAATTGTTGAATTTCCAGATATTGTCATTTTTCTTTGATTTCTCACTACATAATAGACATAGTCACTTCAAATGTTTATGGCCATTTTGGCAACAACCGGCATGTACCGATAGAAAATGTTCTGCACTTTTGAGAATAGCTCTGGATGAAAATTTTAATTAGTTATTTATTTTTTAATATCTGCATCTCACTCATGAAAAAGTGCCTTTTTAGTAGGTTGATATGCATGAAATGGAGGTCCAAAAGGCTTTCTCAGGAGACATTTTTTTTCCCCTGTTGATCACATGCTGTGCTGTTCCTAAAACTCAACAAAGACATGTTTTGGAGGCTATTTGACAGTGGTCCTTATTAAATGCCGACGATATATATTATGTAACTCAGGACAGTCATTGGTATCCTTGACCTTTACCTACACCCAGTATTTCCAGTTGAGGAACATCTAAGTGAAATGAACATGAGTGGCATAGAGAATCATTGTCCTAGAGTACTAGGACTGATGTTAATACCACACAACAACTTCTGGACTCATGGTTTTATAGGTTTCTGTAGTTAATGGATTCATACATCAAATATTTTCTTTAATTTGGTTCTTTATACACCAAGGCTAAAGCGGATCCGTCGATACTTCATGTTCTCTCTAAAGATCTCTATGTTAAGACTCTCATATGCTATGCACATGAGGGTCGTTCTCATGGCATTCTGATTCCAACGTTCCTGATAGTTGGCTTTCTTAGGAAACAGCTTTTGTTGCCTTTTGCACCAAGATATCTTAAAATCATTTCCCAAAGTTAAAAATTTCTTTTGCCCACCAGAGTTGACTTCAAACATGTTGCTTAAAGGCGACCGAAATATCAAGCCCACTAAACTTAATGGATTTGATACTACTTGTTGCAGTAGGATTGTCGGGTTCTCTAAATTGCAAGAACAAACATCAACAATCTGGTTTAAGTAACCTGTGAACTAAGACTATAGTTGTGTGCAATCATTCTGGATGAAAATAATGAATCATTCTGGATGGTTTATCACAATTGTGTGATTACATTTAGGGTGAAGCAGCTGGAACCTTTGATCAGTTTACCAGTGTGGAAGAAGTTTACAGATTGTTTTCTTTTTATAATGAGAAGTCACAAACTAATGGGGATCAAATAACTCAGACATAAAGCTGTTGGAGTGTGTAGAATAACATATTTGGCCTTTTTATGATTCTGCCATTCCAAATAGAGTTCTGAACTCTCTACTTGATCTTATTTGTGGAAGTCATTTTCATGAAAACAAAATTCCTGGATATGAAAATCATGGTCGTGTTGCATCATATGTGTTTTGTGCCGGTTTACGTCTCTAATCTTGGAATTCTAATTGCTATTCTGAATGTAGTGATTTCTTGCCAATTATTCTCTTACTCATGGCAAAAGTTTTATTGGTGAATTCCAGTACCTTACATATCATTTGCTGTATATGTAATGTGTTAGTTTTCGTGCATACTTAACACCCATATCTTGAAGCTGTCAAAGAAACATATGGTGTTTGATAAACAGTGTTTCAAAAAGCGCTAGGTGGCCATGGGAGTCCAGGCCACCTAGCGCCTAGGCGGGCGCTCAGAACTTGGGTGGCCCAGGTTTTGGCCCTTGATAGAGGGCCTCATAGTGTGACTAAGGGTATGGCCATAATCCCAGTTAAAAAAAAAAGATAGAAGCGAGAAGAGAATTTTGATAATCCATAAGACCATAATCCATATTTTCATACAATGCTAAAACAGTAAAACCATATAAGCATACACTGTTAGTTTGATACACTGTAGACTGTACACACAAAAGTTAGATAGGAGAACGAGAAACTAAAAGTAAGAAAAAGAAAGTACACAGAAATTAAGAAAATATACAATCTAGGATACCATAGTCAACACTCAACACAACAGTCAACAGTCAACACTTAACACTCAACACTCAACACCAAGAGTCTTCGCTGTTCAGTCATCATCATCATCATCATTAGAAGGAATATGATAAGCTTTATCATATGCATCAGAATCGAGGCCATCATCATCAGAGTCATCTCCCTCTTCAATATAAAGCTCGTTGTCCTCTGTTTCTTTTGAATCTGCCTCTTCCTCCTCCTCTTCTTCTACCTCTATCTTACTAGTATGTGCAGATGAGGTCCTAGGAGTCTTGGCTGCTTTACACTTTTTTATCTTTTTGTGCTTCTCTGAACTCAAATATTGTACAATTTTCTCCCTGGTAGTCTCAGGAACATTTTTCACGGGGAAACGTCCCCCTTAATACTGTAAATGCCCCCATTAGTATCTTTTCCACAATAATTATATTTAATACTATTTTTGTCATTCGGATTCGGGTTATAACCATACTTCCAACTCGGATCACCTCTTCTAGAAGAACCTGGAGAAGATATTTCTACAGAACGAGGCTCATTTTCATCATTTTCTGGTTCTTTTAAATTCATAAGTTGTCTAATCTCATTCTGAAGAGCTTCAGGAACCTTTTACAGGAAGCAACATTCCCTTTAATACCGGCAAGATGTTTCTTGAATCAGTTAGTACCCCTATTGGTATCTTTTCACAAAAATTACACCTTATACAATTTGTATCGTTTGGTTTTGGGTTATAACCATACTTCCAACCCGGATCACTTATTCTAGAAGTAGTAGAAATAGACCTATTCAAATGACAAGGATTTTGTTCCTGTTTTTGTTTTACAAAACTTATATATTGCTTAATCTCCTCTTTGATACCTTCAGGAACATTTTTTTAAGGGGCAACATCTCCCTTAATACCGCCGAGATGTTTCTTAAACCGGTTTATGCCTCTTTTCAAATCTTTTTCACAAAAATTGTATCTAATGCAATTTTTGCCATTGGGAATCGAGTTATATCCATATTTTCAACCCGGATCTCCACTTCAACTAGATCCTGAAGAAGACATCTCAAAATAAAACAAGTAATCTAAAAAATAAATTTTTGCACTTACTTTGATTGCTCGAACTCCAAACTCCCACCTCTGAGATGTTTTCTGGTGCTAGAATAATAAAAAACACCCTCTAATAGGATTATAAAACTCCAAAACTAAATCAAATCTACCTGGGTGATGTTTGGATCCGTTTTTCATAACTTTCAGAAACACTTCGATCCAATGGAAGCCACAAAATTTAGTTTTCTGGAGGTTTCTCTCTTTAAAATGGGTTCTTGTGGGTTTAGGTTTGAAATGAACCCAATACTCATCCTTCAAACCCTTTATACTTAAAAAAAAATCAATCTAACGAAAAAAAAATTTCCGCCCCTAGGCAGGGTGCAAGCCTTATGTGACTGCTGGGCGCCTGCCTAGGTGGGTTCCGTACTGCCGACTGTCGCCTAGTTTGGCCGCCTAGGCCTGGGCGATGCGCCCAGGCCTTCTGGACCGCCTAGGCGCTGGGTGGTCCGCTTTTTTGAACACTGTTGATAAAATGTATGGTATACGTCTTTATAAGGATGGGCTCTAGGGTCACTGATTAACAAGAACTATTGTTTGCTATGGAGAACAAGAAATTACTATTGCTTGGCTGATTTCAGGTTAACTGATTGACTCCATAGAATAGGATAACTCAAAAAGATCTGCTTCTTGAAGGGGAATACTCAAGCAGTATTTGTACCAGAGCTATGTAATTTATTTCTTCTCTGTTAGGCACACAAAATTGGATTTGAGTTATGATAATCCTTTTATCCATATGATGTTAGTTCTAATATTACAGTGATATGATAATTAGAATGAACTTACAGTGTCCATCATTTATTACTGTCAAGGATTACCATATATTCATCTTTCACATTACCAATATAATAATTGACTTTATGGTAAAGTTGGCAATGTTTTTTTTTTCCTCAGTGGGTAAATTATTTCATGCATTCTGGGCATCTGGCAATAGATGGCCTCAAGATGTCAAAGTCTCTGAAGAACTTCATCACAATTCGTGAGGTATTATTGGATCTTTTTTTGATATAAGATTTATGGTCTTTATGATTGGTGTTTGGTATGCATTTGCATCCCATGAGCGATTTTGCTCGTGTTTGGAATTTAGGTTTTGATGTTGCTTATTGCTTGTTTTGCTCTGCCATTCGTTTCACTGAAATGTATATATATTTTTGTCTAATGTAATGGAAATAATATTTTTTTTGGATATTGGGGCATCTAGGTATTACGAAAATATTCTGCTCGGAGCATCAGGTTTCTCTTTGTCAATCACCCATGGGATAAGGTCAGTCATTGTTGCTTTTGACTTATGATCATTTTTTTTCCTATTTATAGCATGTGTTGGCTTATTCTTTTATTATACTCCATTCTGTTCATTATTCAGATGGATGAGTTTTCCTTTTAGTCCAAATTGTCTGTTCACTTTTTGGTTTCTTTGTACTTTTCCTGCTTATTAGTGAGATTATGCGATGAGAATGCTTTGTTGTAGGTTTCATTGTTCTTGAAGCTAATGTACTGATTTTATTTGGTGTAATATGCAGCATTTTCCATACCTAACATAGCAGGAAATGGTTTCTTACATTTTGATTGAACTAAATTTTCTGATATTCTATGACTCTCTTTCCAAGGAAATGCATTTTCAGTTACTTTTGAGAATTTACTTTATTTATCTAATGATAATCTTGTCAGATTTTCCTAGAAAATACCCCTCCAATACTTTTTGAGAATTTATTTAATTTTTTGTTTTTGGTTGTTCAATTAAAATTCGTAGAAAGGAAAATGAAAATGTGTACTTTTTTGACATTCTCAAGTGCAAAAATCTTTTTGGATGTTATGGCAATTATCATTACTTACATTCATACTCATAAAATGAATTGCCTTTCACTATTAAACACATTCTCAAAAATTACTTTTTCAACAAAGTTTTTCAAATTGAGGAGCTATTTTTAGCAATCTTAAAAATCAAGTAGCTACCTTTTTGTGAATTCTGGAAATGCCCCTTGTCAGACAGAATGACAACAGATGTCTCAATGGTATTCACTTAGAACTCACAAACAATGTTTCTCAAATATTTCTAGATTGAGACAAACAATGTTTCTCGAATATTTCCCATGGAGAGAAGATTATTTTCTTATTAAATTTGTGCTTCCTAAAGGTCGAGTAGATTCATTTCAACTTTCACAAACTAGAAAATATATTAATTTATGTGTTCTACGCTAAGAAAAAGCATATTGTATGCCTTTAGTGGAGGATGTGGCACTGTGAACTGACCTATGGATGATCCGTTGTACTTTATGGTTCTAGCACCCCTGTCACTTGGGTTACTACACTTTTTGGGAACCTGAGGTAGTAAGCCAGTCTTAAAGCGAGATCCGATGAGTCTCTACGGCCATCACCAACTATTGACTTGCAGGAAAAGTGACATCCATGTATTGTGAGGAGAGAGGCTAACCATTTGTGCAGTAAATATTTGCAAAAGCATGAAAGAGAATACTGTGAATCTCCTAGTCAAGAGTCTTGAAAAAGTACATTTTAAAATGGTAAATTGATGCACATTCCCAAAAAAAAAGAAAAAAAAATGGTAAATAGATGCCTTTAAATATTCCCTACGCTACACCTACATGGTGGGTAACATTGTTCAATAAAATACAACCTGTATTGTGTTTTTCATATTTTGGTTCATGAAGAGTATATATTGTTTTACCTTTTACATTTTTTTTGATAATGTTAACATTGTATTACTATACCAAGAAGGAGTACAAAAGATTGAGGAGAGAGAGAGCCGAGCATACCCTCGAGACGGGTATCTCGGTAAAAAATTAAGCTATAACCCCTATACAAACTATATACTTTTGGAGAGACTGTATACAAAAAATGGGCTTATAGGCACACCCTTTTACAAGAAGTCACAAAATAAATTTTGAGTCCTAGAGACCTCTATGGTCCAATGCTAAAAAGGAGATGGACCATTCATTGTCTTCCATGTCTGTTCGTCTCCTCGCCTCATCTTTAGCTAGAAGGTCGGCTAGTTCGTTCGACGTCCGCCACGTATGCCTCCATCAGACGTTGATATCCCTGCATAGGTGGTTAATCTCATCAAATATCCTAGATAGGTACCAAGGAGGATCGATAATGCTTGCTGCCCAACTTAAAATGTTTTTAGCGTATCCTTCCACCACTAAGGATTGACCCTAAGATGGGTAAAAAAATTGTGGGCCCTTAAGAAGAGCCAATGCTTCGGCAAGTTGTGAGTCTCCATAGCCGACATATTTAGAAAATGTCGTGAGAACATTGCCGTTGTGGTCTCTGAAGACTCTCCCTACTCCTGAATGACCCGGATTCCCCAATGAACAGCCATCAAAATTTAACTTTATCGCATTTTCTGGAGGGGGCATCCAGTTGTGAGCTCTCTGTAGCTTTCTAGGCTGGAGTCTAATAGTGTTGTCCCATTGGCTGAGGAAAGAGGTCATAGGGATCCCTTTAAAGGCTCCATGGGTGGGGCCCCAAAAAACTACCAAAGCTGTAACCTTGTGGAGCAGCCCAGAGACTTCATTTCTATGGCCTCGAATGATCGTCTCGTTCCTTTCAAACCATAAGACCCATACTGTAGCAGCAATAGTTGCCCTCCACAAAGTTCTTCCTGTTAAGGGCCAAGGACCACCTGAATAATGATGTAGTAAATCTTTTACCGAAGGTGGGAGGACTCAATTAAGATTGAAAAGCTTCAAGATCAAAGTCCAAAGGTCCAAAGCTATATTGCAGTGAAGGAAGAGGTGGAGATTGGACTCCTCCTCTTGTAGACACATTACACATCTGTTTGGAAGTGGCTGACCCCGTTTTTGAAGCTGGTCCATCGTGAGGGCCCGCTGGCAGCCAGCTATCCAATTAAATGACTTTACTTTTGGAGGGGCGATTGTGTTCCAGACTTTGTAAAGAGGGGAGATGGGATTTAGACGGAAGGTAGGAAGCTGGATAAGTAGCTTATAGAAAGAGGCTACCGAGATGGGGCTGGAGTCTATACCAACGAGTCATTCCCTGATGGAGGTAAGAAAACAGAATGTAGAGCAGCCGAGAGGGTGGTGAACGCTAATGTCTCCTGTTCATTAAGATTCCTTCAAAAAATGGGATTCAAGTTCTTCGCCCCCCTGCTAAAACCATTTCTTCTTCAATTGTCGACTCTTTGTTGAAGACAATTTTGAAAAAGGGCTGGAAATTGGTCCCTTAGGGGAGCATGTCCAATCCACAGGTCTGACCAAAAGCGAACTCTGTGGCCTTGTTTTGGGTGGAATCGAAGCACCTTCTTGAATTGAGCAAAGGAGGATGCTACTGATCTCCAAACTCCTGAACCGTTGCTTCGTGCTAGCCTCCCGGGCACCCACTTGTGGTCTGGGATGATATATTTGTTCCGAAAAACTTGTACCCAGAAAGAGTTTGGCTGGGTGGCTAAGCTCTACCACCACTTTCCCAACAAGACCAAGTTATGCTTTCTTAGGTCTCTGATTCCTAGACCACCTTGGACTTTGGGCAGTCGGACTCTATCCCAAGATATTAGGTGATATCTCGATTTTTCAGCTTGGCCAGACCATAGAAAGTTCCTCATAAGTTGGTCCAACCTTTTGGCCACAGAGGCTGGCATATGGAATATGGACATTAGGTAAATGGGGGAGTTAGCCAGAGTAGCCTTAACCAAAGTAGAGCGACCGGTCAGAGGTAAGAACCTTCCTTTCCAGCTGTTGGTATGGACTCCATCAGGGAATGACTTTGAAACCAGTGGCATTTTCAAAGCATTTGAGGAAAATCTGAGGTTCTCTATTTGAAGAGTGTCCGCATCTAAGAAGACTAAGGATCATCTGTGTATGGAAGATGTGATTCCAAAGGTCCATGTGAACTGCAGCGGAAAGCCGAGAGCAGACCTTCTTGGTAGAGACGAGAGAGAGACCTGCTAAAAATTTCATCAACCATTGTAAAGAGAAAGCGAGATAGCGGGTCCCCTTGACGGAGCCCTCTCGATGCAGCAAAGAAGCCTTTGGGACTTCCATTAATAAGGACCGAGAAATGGGGATTGGAAATACAACCATGTATCCATTTTCTCCATCGAGGTCCAAAGTTTATTCTCGCCATCGTCTCATCTAGTAATGACCAGTCAACATGATCATATGCTTTTTCCCAGTCGATTTTGAAAATCAATCCTGGTTTCTTGGATAGGTGCCTAGAGTGGATGCACTCATGGGCTACTAGTACACCATCCAGTATTAACCTGTCTTTGATGAAGGCAAATTGAGATAGTGAGATGATGAAAGGAAGTACTTGCTTGAGTCTAGAAGCCAAGACCTTGGCAAGAATTTTGTATGTTGAGTTAAGCAAACTATTAGGGCGGAAGTCCTTGAGCTCTTCAACACCTTCTTTTTTGGGGACAAGGGCTAAGAAGGTAGCATTGATAGCTATATTGACGATCCCCTTATGATAGAATTCCTCAAAGAAACTCCTAATATTAGGTAGGAAGATTCCTAGGAATGATTTGAAAGGGGCCATAGGAAAGCCATCTGGCCCCGGAGCTTTGTCTTTGGCTAATTGATCAATGGCCTTTGATATTTCTTCTACTGTAAAAGGTCCTTCCAACTTGTTGGACCAATGACCGGGAACAATAAGGAAATCTAAGGTGGTCATCCTTGGCTTGAGGCCCACAAGGGCAGTATAGACTGATCTGAAGTAATTAAGGATAGCCCCTTCAATATCATGTGGCTGAGTTAGAAACCTATTATCCACTTTAATGGTAGATATCAAATTATCTCTGCTTCTACAGTTGGCTATCCGATGGAAAAAAGCTGTGTTTTGGTCCCCTGCTTTTAACCATTTGACCTAGAATCTTTGGTACCAAAACGGCTCTTCTTTCATAAGTGTAGGGAGGTAATCTGTCTTTGCTTAGGTTCTAAGCTGTGCTTCAGTAGCTGAGAGGGGTCTGGCTTCTTCGATATTATCTAGGTCTTGGATATAGTTGAGCAGGGAGCTTTTCAATTGAATAAAATTTTCGGGCCGAGACTGCCTCCAGCTTTTCAAAGACTTTTTGAGTAGCTGGATATTGGTTTGTAACTTATAACCCTCTCTTACTCGAGACTTGGGAGGAGAAAGAATTCCACCAACTAGGAATCAGGGTCAAAAGGGAATGCTCTTCCAACCACGCCAATTCAAACCGAAAAGGTTTGGCCCCCAACTGATCGAAGTATCAAGAAGAATGGGGCAATGATCAGAGGTAGGTTTTGGCAGGGTAATTGCGTGTGAATAAGGAAACAAAACTTCCCGATCTAGAGACAGAAGGAATCTATCCAGTTTAGCCAGAGTGGGTTGAGCAGAGTGGTTGGACCAGGTGAAAGCATTCCCATGAATTGGTATGTCTACTAGCTCTTGTCGGGATATAAAGTCAGAGAAATCCAAAATTCCTTGGGAAATATTGGAATTGTGGTTCCTTTCATGGGTCCATCTGGTGATGTTGAAATCACCACCCAGGCACCATGCAGAATGTGGTAGGGTTGCTACACTGTCCAATTCAGACCAAAGACGGGGGCAAATGGAGACTGAAATTTGGACCGTATATGGCAGAGAACTTTAACAGTACACCATCAATAGACTTGGAGAGAAGGACAATGACTGAGAAATCTCCTAAGTTGGCCGAAACAAGGTCAAACACTGTTGGGTTCCAAATAACTGATATGCCACCAGAAGCCCTTGTTGCCGATAAAGAAACCCATTGACACGACCTTCTGCCTCACACACTGTGCATGGACTGCAGGGTTGCCTTTGTCTGTTTCGTCTCGGTCAAGGCCAAGATAGTTGGGGAAACTTTTACAGAGGTCTCGCACCGAGTCCCTCTTGGACTTTTGTCCCAACCCTCTAATATTCCAGGAAAGAATCTTCATTAAGGATGGAAGGAGGCAGGGGAAGGGGCAGTCCTAGGCAACCGCCTGAGAGAAGGGGGGGATTGGTTAGTGGAGGGAAGAGACTCGACTTCAGTAGTAGGTTTGTTGTAAGTAATTGAGGAAAAGAGGTTAAGCAATTCACGTTGGCCTGTGAAATTCACCTTAAACCTGCTTTGGGCGTCCGCTTGCAAAAACCGGTGTGTCGGGCCTTCGGGTCCAGTATATTTGAAACCCTCCTTCATCCTGTCAGTATCTCGAGAGCTATCTTTCCCACCTGTACTCTCTTCGTTGCCTTCAACCAAACAGGAAGAAGAGGCTGCTAGGGTTAAGGACTCAGGGGGTAGCACAAGGGGATTGGCAGAGCTGGACTGTTGACCAGGGGATACAGAAGTATACAGGTTCGACGACAAGGAGAAAGGACCACCTGGACTAAGTTCAATCAATAGTGGCTCAGGGAAATCAGGAACAAGGTTATCTAGGGGAGTTTCAGAAAAAGGAGGGGGGGGGGGGGGTCTCAGGTGGGGCTTTAGGTTGAGATGAAGACCATAAAGTGATAGGGGGAGGAGCCGAGCTGAGAACTGGAAGGGGTTGAAAGGCAGGCCACGAGGGGGGAGGGTGAAAAAAAAAAAGGGTAGTGAAAAGGGTAAGGTTATGGACCATTGTGGACAAAATGGGTACGATAGTAGTCAAAAGGGAGAAGGACCGTAGTTACTGGATAATGTTATTTTAAGGGAGAAGGACCGTAGTTACTCTTAAAGGGGTAGGACTTTTACATTTTTGCTTTCTCAGTTGGATAATGTTATTTTAATAGAAATAGTTGACCAAATTCTAGAGGATAAAGGACGTTCTAGAGAAGTGACTATTTGTGTCTTTCCTTTGTGGCATTCAGGCGTCATATTCTCCTCCATTTGGTAAGGCACATCTATTGCTGTATTGTAATCAAGCCTTGAACTTGCTTCATCTGAATAATGGTCAGGAGCATGAAAACTAAAATATTTCTGAAATTTTCATTGATGTGGGGTGTCATTTGCAAGCTGGACCTAGTTTATGTGGACATTCTTGTGAGAGGCTGGCATAGGTGATACAAGTCACATTTTATTCCCTATAGCTTCCTAACCTTGAATATGCCTACTTTGAAATTTTATTGGAAGAAACTAGACTCAAAACCACAGGAGAAAAATACATCTCTAACCTGGAAAAGTTGCAACTACATGATGTGCGTCAAATATAGTCAAATCTAGATCAACACACTAGAATTTACCTAAGGTCACCTCCTCGGACTTCATACACCCCATCTCATCTCCTCGGATCAATGGCTCATCAACCAGAACGCTAATCTCTCTGATTTTGGGTGAGTTACAGAGTTTAGCAGTTTCAGCTTGTAGGTTTTCTTCTCTCTACTTAGATCTTTGAAATAAGGCGATTACACAAAACTGTTAACTTTAGTTTGAACACACCACTTCTTTCTCTCTTTCGAACTTTGACAATCCTAAAAGCCATTAGAAAAGGTTATTCCTTACTGATTTAGGTGAAGAGCGAGGCTTGAAGTCGGAGGGTTATGCCCTTGTCTTTGCTCTACTTGAATCTTATGTATACAAGGAGACTAAGAAGACAACAATTTTGGCTTGTCTCCACTCACCTTACCTTTCTCTCTTGGTTCCTTCCCCCAAAATGATCTACTCCTCTCTATCTAACTCCAAAGTACGTGGCTGATTTTAATTCTCCCCATAGTTATTGGGAATCTTTCAGGGAGGGGGTGCTCCCACTCTGGAAGCTTGATCTGCGCTTCGAGACAAGATCTCGATTATGAGTGTTTTCTAGGTTAGGGATCTCAATCTGGAAAAATGAGGCAGTAGATCCCATTTTAATGGGATCCATATCCCTATGCCCAAAATCATGGTTCCATGAGTAACTGGAACCGCGATTTGACCAACTTAGATTTGAGTATCTTGTATTTTGGGACCTAGTTTTACCAGCACATTTTCAGGTTTGTATACAATGGAGTGTGGATCTCCAATTTTTTATGACCTACGAACTTTCACAAGGCCCTGATTTCCTATATATTTTTACGATGTCAACTTTATATGCATTGTGAATCATGGCAGAGAGAGAAGGAAGAAGATAGAAAAGGTGGTCGAATTGCGGTTGTAATTGGGGAATGAGGTTGCGATCAATAGGCTTAACTTCCTTGGGGCTAGTTCACTAAGTTCTATCCACGTCCCAAAGGACTTTTAACACTTGAGTTTGGCCTCCCAAATTGAGCCACTCATGGGGTTGCCTTTTGGAAATGTGAGTTCTCTCTCATCACTATATCCTTGAGCTCCTGTTTACCTTTGATGAAGGGGAGCTGTTGAGAATTATATATGGCACCGTCTCTCCTTTTTTTCCCAAAGGTAAGCTTATCTATTGCAACATTTCTTTGTTGAAAACAATGTATCACAACATTCTTAAATATAATCATCAATTGATAGTCAATGGAGAATTGTCTAATTCAATTGATTGGTGCCAAAAAATGAGGTCGTGTGCGTACATAGGCAGACCAATGTAGGTAGGTGTGCAATCTTTGTAATAGACCCACATGCGTATTTTTCTTGAAGTGAAACTTGCTTAAATAATTGTTCAATGGAATTCACTCCCGAACTAGAATACCATGGGTAAGTGATCTTTGGGAGCCTATTCTCATTCAGTTTAGCATTCGCGCCTGGGAAGTTATTCAACGCGGTTGCGTAATGTTAGGGATGTCGATCCCTTTACCTCACGATGTGCAGTGCTTGTTCCCTCAACTACGGATCTTCGAGCTTCCCTCTCTCCCCTGTTCATGTTTCCTATCTCGAAGCTCTTCTTGCTCCGGTTCCTGCTAACTATGGTTTTCCCCACATGAAGCCCCAATTTTTTTACGGGAGAGCTCGTACATAAATTACATCTGTCAAAAATAGGTCGTGGATTCATTTTTATAGGGCAATAGGGGGATAGAAAGGAAAATATATAAAATAGCTTTCATAGTTCTATCAGGAGATTGGTGGTGCGAAAAGGCTGATATCAGCCATCCATCCCTCACCCAACCATAAAAATCCACTTATGTAATCAAATTGGGATTTTTCAAATATATTTTATGGCAAAAATTTTAATTTTATTTAATAACATGTTAAACTGTTTTGGAATTAGGTTTCCTTTAGAATTCTAATTAAGGGCTCCACACCCTCTTCCATGGGTCCCGTGCAGCCCTTTTTCCCCCTTTCTTTTGACATATTTTCGCCCATGAAAACATGCCATGTGGCACCCTAAGAAAGTGGGGATGAGTATAAAAATGATCTTATTGTCTCAATTAAGAAGAATGATCATTTTTCTAAGGTGAAATGATCATTTTTATTCCCTTTTATCCCCACCATTACTTAGGGTGAAATTTCAATTAAGAAGAATAAAAATGATCTTATTGTCTCAATTAAGAAGAATAAAAATGATCTTATTGTCTCTAATTAATCACAAACTCCAACGATTCTATTTTTTATATTCTCTCAGTATTAAGTGAATCTAGTTTTGCCTAGGGCACTGTCTATTTGCTTTTCCGACCTAATTTTTATTGGAAAGATCTTGATAGGATTTGATGCTTGTCACTTTCTATTTGTCTGCATTGGTAGACAGTTTATAGTTTCTTTAGAACTTCTGCGTAAGGAAATGCGATGTGCCTTTTGATGGATATGTGTAGTTTTATCTTTGGTTTGGTTGCAAAGTTGCATTTTTTAGCCCATTATTTGGTTCTAATTGGTATTTTAGTTTCTGCTGCTTGCAGCCGATGAACTTTCATGAATCTGTCATGAGTGCAGCAATCTCTATGGAGAAAAAGTTTGACAATTTTTTCATGAGTGTGAAAGATGTTATACGTAAGATGGTAAGCAAAACTTTTTTCTGGTTAAATGCTTAATGAGTTTGCCCTTCATTTGTTTATACTTCTGATCTTCATGGATTTAGACTGTTATTTTGCCTATTTTTTCATATATTTTCTTTAGGGTTGGCTTGAGATTGAGAGTAGGTCAGCTGATGAGTACTTTTTTTGGTTAGGATTAGGCTTGGCTTGAGATTGAGAGTAGCGTTTGGCATGGGTGGATGGGTTGTTTCATGGAGCACGATGATGCAGCCTAAACTGATATTTTCCTTTTTTTAAGAGGCACAATCACTTTAGATCTGCTTGAGCTATGAAGAAAAGGGAAGTTGGAGAGGGAACATAGAAACACGTGAAACAGGGATGGAATCCACCCTAGAGATCACTTCCCAAAAGAAAATGGAGAGGGAGTGCTGGGCTGTCCCTTCTTCCTGCTGTCTTTTATTCAAGTTCAAGCAGAGTGCAATACTAGCCCTTAGATTTACATCCCATCTTTTAATCTATGCCCTTGAATATAAATAAAAGGCGAAAGTACTAAAATGCCGTTACAATTTAAGTTACTTATAAAAGAACCAAATCAATACTAATTGTTACACATAACCCTTTTTGTTAGCTCCCTTTACTAGGATAGGCCAAACAATGTCCAACACTCATTTGCTGGCCACTTTCTTCCTCGCGTATTGCTTCTCTCTCTCTCTCTCTCTCTCTCTCTCTTTTCTTC